TACTTCACCGTAGGGATGTATGCCAGGTTTTCCTTAAGACGTGACGCTTGGCATTCAGGCCGAAAGAGTTCATCTGGTTTCATCAGAAAGAGAATCTTCTTCTCATGGTCTGAGTCATTTAGGTGCCTTTGGCAAAATCCAAGTGAGCGTCATGTGCATTTTACTGAGGAGTGGCTTTCTGTCGGGCCACTCTACCATAAAGGCCTGATTTGGTGGAGGCTGCAGAGACAGTTGTCCTTCTGGAAGTCTCCCATCTCCACGAGGAACTCTGGAGCATCGGCCAGAGTGACCATGGGTTTCTTGGTCACCTCCCTGACCAAGGCCCTTCGCCCCGATTGCTCAGTTTGGCCGGGGGGCCAGTTCTAGGAAGAGTCTTGTTGGTCCAAACTTCTTCATGTAAGAATGAGGAGGCCACTGTGTTCTGGGGACATTCAATGCTGCAGAAATGTTTTAGAAAATTTTTGGTAACCTTCCCAGATCTTGCCCTCAATACAATCCTGTCTCGGAGCTCTAACGACAATTACTTTGACCTATCAAAGGCTTATGGTTTTACTCTGACATGCACTGTAAACTGTGGGACATTATATAGACAGATGGGTGTCTTTCCACATAATGTCCATCAATTGAATTCCACAGGTACACTCCAATCCAGTTGTAGAAAACATCTCAAGATGATCAATGGAAACAGGATGCACCTGAGCCAATTCGATCTCAAGCAAAGGGTCTGATTACTTATGTAAATAGGTATTTCTGTTTTAATTTGTTATACATTGCACAAATTTCTAAAAAATTGGGGTTTTTCACTTTGTCATTATGGGGTATTGTGTGTAGATTGATGAGGGAAAAAACAACTTTATAATTTCAGAATAGGCCTGATAACGTAACAAAAATGTGGAAAGATGAAGGGGTCGAATACTCGCAGAAGGGCACTTATATACAGACACTTTCATGTAGTCTTGGATTATATAGGAGGATCAGCCACCCGATCTAAGTCTATAACTGAGTAGACAAAAACATTTAAGGACAACTGCTCTTTCCATGACATAGAAGACCAGGTGAATCCCAGGTGAAAGCTATTGATCCCTTCTGATGGCACTTGTTAAAAATCCACTTCAATCATGTTAGCTGAAGGGGGGAGGAGGGGGGAGGAGGAGACAGGTTAAAGAAGGATTTTTAAGCCATTGAGACAATTGAGACAGGATTGTGTATGTGCCATTAAGAGGGTGAATGGACAAGAAGACAAAATATTGAAAAGTGCATTTGAACGGGGTATGCTATGGTAATAGGTGCCAAGAACTTGCAACGCTGCTGTGGTTTTCATGCCTCGACACAAGTTTCCAATGGTATCAAGATTGGTCCACCACCAAAGGAAACCAGCCAACTGACACCAACCTGTGGGACAAAAAAAAAAAGCATTGGAGTCTGACTGGGCCAGCATACCTGTGGAATGCTTTCGAACACCTTGTATCGTCATGCCCTTGACGAAATCAAGGCTGTCCTGAGGGGAAAAGGGTGGGGGGGGGGGGGGGGGGGGGTGGCGTAACGTTTTGTTATCTAAATAGACAGTTACTTACCGTCACTTTCATAATGGAACACTATCACTTTAAATAATGTTTAACATACTGCTTTACTCATTTCATATGTATATACTGTATTTTAGCCATGGCTCATCCTAATATACTACTGCTGTATAAACCTTTTCACAAACTGTCCATACACACCATTATATACATATACTGTATACAGAGCATTCGGAAAGTATTCAGACCCCTTGACTTTTTCCATATTTTGTTACATTACAGCCTTATTCTAAAAATGATAAAATAGTTTTTTTTTTTCTACACACAATACCCCATAATTACAAAGCAAAAACAGTTTTTTGGGAAATTTCTGCTAATGTACTACAAATAAAAAACAGACATATCACATTTACATAAGTATTCAGACTCTTTACTCAGTACTTTGTTGAAGCACCTTTGGCAGTGATTACAGCCTTGAGTCTTCTTGGGTATGACGCTACACAAGCTTGGCACACCTGTATTTGGGGAGTTTTCTCAGATTCTTCTCTGCAGATCCTCTCAAGCTCTGTCAGGTTGGATGGGGAGCGTCGCTGCATAGCTATTTCAGGTCTCTCCAGAGATATTAGATCGGGTTCAAGTCCGGGCTCTGGCTGGGCCAGTCAACGACAATCAGAGACTTGTCCCAAAGCCACTCCTGAGTTGTCTGGCTGTGTGCTTAGGGTCGTTGTCCTGATGGAAGGTGAATCTTCGCCCCAGTCTGAGGTCCTGAGTGCTCTGGAGGAGGTTTTCATCAACGATTTCTCTGTACTTTGCTCCGTTCATCTTTCCCTCGATCCTGACTAGTCTCCCAGTCCCTGCCGCTGAAAACATCCCCACAGCATGATGCTGGCACCACCATACTTCACCGTAGGGATGGTGCCAGGTTTCCTTCAGACGTGACGCTTGGCATTCAGGCCGAAGAGTTCAATCTTGGTTTCATCAGACCAGAGAATCTTGTTTCTCATGGTCTGAGTCCTTTAGGTGCCTTTTGGCAAACTCCAAGCGAGCTGTCATGTGCCTTTTACTGAGGAGTGGCTTCTGTCTGGCCACTCTACCATAAAGGCCTGATTGGTGGAGTGCTGCAGAGACGGTTGTCCTTCTGGAAGGTTCTCCCATCTCCACAGAGGAACTCTGGAGCTCTGCCAGAGTGACCATCGGGTTCTTGGTCACCTCCTTGACCAAGGCCCTTCTCCCCGATTGCTCAGTTTGGCCGGGCGGCCAGTTCTAGGAAGAGTCTTGGTGGTTCCAAACTTCTTCCATTTAAGAATGATGGAGGCCACTGTGTTCTTGGGGACCTTCAATGCTGCAGAAATGTTTTGGTAACCTTCCCCAGATCTGTGCCTCAACACAATCCTGTCTCGGAGCTCTACGGACAATTACTTTGACCTCAAGGCTTGGTTTTTACTCTGACATGCACTGTCAACTGTGGGACCTTATATAGACAGATGTGTGCCTTTCCAAATCATGTCCAATCAATTGAATTTACCACAGGTCCTCTCCAATCAAGTTGTAGAAACATCTCAAGGATGATCAATGGAAACGGGATGCACCTGAGCTCAATTTCGATTCTCATAGCAAAGGGTCTGATTACTTATGTAAATAAGGTATTTCTGTTTTTAATTTGTTATACATTTGCACAGATTTCTAAAAATCTGTTTTCACTTTGTCATTATGGGGTATTGTGTGTAGATTGATGAGGGAAAAAACAATTTAATCAATTTCAGAATAAGGCTGTATAACGTAACAAAATGTTGAAGGGGTCTGAATACTTTCCAAAGGCACTGTATACACACACTTTCATGTTAGTCTTTGGATTATATAGGAGGATTCAGCACCTGATCTAAGTCTATACACTGAGTAGACAAAACATTAAGGACACCTGCTCTTTCCATGACATAGACTGACCAGGTGAATCCAGGTAAAAGCTATGATCCCTTTTTGATGTCACTTGTTAAATCCACTTCAATCAGTGTAGATGAAGGGGAGGAGACAGGTTAAAGAAGGATTTTTAAGCCTTGAGACAATTGAGACATGGATTGTGTATATGTGCCATTCAGAGGGTGAATGGACAAGACAAAATATTTAAGTGCCTTTGAACGGGGTATGGTAATAGGTGCCAAGAACTGCAACGCTGCTGGGGTTTTCACGCTCAACAGTTTCCCATGTGTATCAAGATTGGTCCACCACCCAAAGGACATCCAGCCAACTTGACACAACTGTGGGAAGCATTGGAGTCAACATGGGCCAGCATCCCTGTGGAATGCTTTCGACACCTTGTAGAGTCCATGCCCTGACGAATCGAGGCTGTCCTGAGGGAAAAAGGGGGGGGGGGGGGTGTCCTTAATGTTTTGTATACTCAATATACAGTATATTTATCATTTATAATATATATATTTATATTGTATTTATATTCCGGACTCTGACATTTCTTAATTTTTTTTTTTTTTGTATTTGTGTTTATTGTTTTGTATTGTTAGGTATGCTGCACTGTAAGGAGCTAGAAACATAAGCATTTCGGTACACCTGCGATAACATCTGCAGAATATATGTACGCGATCAATACAATTTGATTTGAGGTAACATAATATAAGTATTCCGGTGCTCTGTCATTATAACCAAACTAAAGTCTGGATTCATTCTCCAGTCATGACACAAAGTCTGACAAGGAGCAAATTTGAAAACTTTGAAATAACTTTATTGCAGACAGTTTATAGGACGGTGGCACAAAGATTAAACAGCTTGTTGTTGCCGTTGTGTTTGGCGGAGGCGAGTTAGGCTGTAGTTGCTACTACACTACTACAGGAGCTGAGGAAACATACTGTACATCGTCCATATTGGCTTTTCCTCCTGCTCCCATGTCTTTGCATGTCTTTCTCCGTGCCGATGAGGATGAGGTTAGTTAAGGTGGTGTTGATACCAGGGGGTGTAGTGGAGGGTCAACGCAACTAAGTGCAGTTTACCCACCTTTTTTATTTAGCCAAACAGTGCATTGAAAGTAAAGGGAGCGCTACTTTTTTCACTGCGACCGGCGATCAGTTTACCCACCTACAGTATGTTTTTACCACTGGTTGTTACTACGGGGGGTAAGTAAGGAGAACATGAGGAAAAGCTGGTGTCCTTTCACGGTGTTTCTGGTTCTGGTCTCTGTGTTTGGCTCAGGCTGGGCTGGGTTTGGGTTTGGGTGTTGGAGGATACAGTACCAGAGCGGTTAGGTCCAAAGATGGTTCAGGTAACTGAGTTGGGTTCAGGCCGATTGGGATGGGGGCTGGATGGGCTCTAGACTGGGTCCTTGGGGCTGGTGGGTTCTAGGTTCAGTGTTCGGTGTTCTGGGCTGACTGGGTCCTTGGGGCTGGGTGGGTTCTAGGTTCAGTGTTCTGGGCTGAATGAGCCCTTGGGGCTGGGTGGGTTCTAGGTTCAGTGTTCTGGGCTGAATGGATGTCAGAGGGATGTATAGTTGTTGGGTCTGAAGATGCGGTCGAACTCATTGAGGATGAGCTCCACGGCCTGGTTCTGGTAGACCATGTTGATGGCCATGTTAACATTGTCCCTCTCCGGACGCATCAGGGTGGGACCGAACACTATGCCGATGTTCTGGGTCGACATCCGGTTAGAGTCAGAATGTTCCATCACCCTGGGGGAGGGAGAGAGAGAAGAAGAGAGAAAGAGACAGACAGGGACAGAAAGAGAGAGAGATTACTGGTGGTACACTATGGTTACGGGGTCTACAGTGGATTAGCCTGACTCCATCTGTGTCATTCCAGTGACCACCAATGACACACGGCTTCATCTCAGTGGTCACTGTTGAGAGACTGCTTGTTCATTTGTATTATTCCTGTTGATTCACAGAGCAGCAGAAGAGTGGCTACACTGGTGCTTATTCACGGGACATTGGTGTGTGTGTGGACCATGTGTGTGTGTGTGCGTGCGTGTACGTGTGTGTGTGTGTGTGTGTGTGTGTGTGTGTGTGTGTGCAAGCGTGTGTGTGTGATTGGACACATACACAGGAATGGGTTAAAGCCACAGTATGAGGCATTCTTTGAAAAATGCCATTCCCACCGAGCCACAGAGATCCCAGGGGAAGAGCCACAGAGATCCCAGGGGAGGAGCCACATAGGCAGCCAGCAATTGCTAAAAACGTCCACATTAAAAAAGGAGAGAAAAGAGCGGGAAAAATTGGGGGGAAGGGGTGAAAAAGGGGCAGGGGGCCCCCTTTTCCTTGGGGGCGGGGTGGTGTTGCTTTCCTTCCCAACAGCCAGGATCCCAGGGGAAAGGGGGGAAGGGGAAGGGGGGGGGGAAAAAGGGGCCCGGGGGGTTTTGGCCGGGAAAGGGGAGTTGGTCAAGGGTTTTTGAGAAGGAGGGGAGGGGGGGAGGGAAGGTAGTTGGAAAGAAAAAAATACAAAAAGGAGCCAAAAAAAAGACACCCTTTTCCGGCTCCTAGCCCCCGGCCCCTTTGCCCCCCCCCCGCACCCCCCCCTTCCCCCCCTTTTTTTCCGGGGAAATTCCGCGTATGTTGTTTAAAACCCCCAATAAAAAGGGACCCGAGAGCGCCCCGAGGTGAAATAGCTAAAAGTGGGTTTAAGAAAGGAAAAAGAGAGAGGGGAGGAAAAAAGGAGAAGAAAAGATCTACCGATACACATTGACTGCAGACATACTGACTCGCTAGGATACACCAAACTGGCACAACATCAGACTCAGGAACACAACAAGTCCTTCTTTTAGACCTGTGGACCAGGCAACAACAGTAGTACAGGAAGCAGAACCAATGTTTATTATTGTCTTTAACTTCTCCTAAATCCTTCACTCTTTCACCCTCATAGTCCTCTCTGAAATATAACCCTGGTACCCACAGCCCTTGCTCACTAAGACTTCTTCACACTGTTCATTCACATGCTGGATGACAACTGCTTAGAACGAGGGTACTACCCCCTCTGGTGGTCAGTCGTATTACCTGCCGCATATTATTTTTCTACAAACAGTAAAAGCTGATTCTGAAACAACAGATGTACATATGAAGGACATTCAGCACAATTGAAAGATGGTGAAATGGAATTAGATTGTGGTTAGATGTGTCAGATTTTTGAGGGTACACTGGGTATTGTGACAGGGTCTTTGAACCCTTGGAGGTGCGGTGTCTCGTACCGTTTGAGATGGCTGAACATGAACCTCATGGTGTCTTGGTTGGGAGGAGGCATGCTCAGTACCAGCCACTTCAGACGGTCCACTTTATCCAGGTAGTCTGACATCTCTGGAACACACACACAGTAGGACACACTCATTACACTCCAGATCAGAACCTTCTAACTCTAGGTAGGTAGGTAGGTAGTTAGTTAGTTAGTTAGTTAGTTATTAGTTAGTAGTTAGTTAGTTGTTTAGTTAGTTAGTTTTCAGTTTGCTAGGGTAGTTAGGTAGGTAGGTAGGTCGTATTAGTTCCGTTTGGCTAGAGGTAATGTATGTAGGAGGTAGGTAGGTTAGTCGGTCTGTCGGTAAGGCAGGCAGCAGGCAGTTAAGTTAGTTAGTTAGTTAGTTTAAGGTAGTTAGATTAGTTCGTAGTTAGTTAGTTGTATTAGTTTAGTTTTAGTTAAGTTTTAGTTTAGTTCGTTAGGTCGGTAGGTAGGTCCGGTCGTAGTCGGTCCGTCGGTCGTTAGGTAGTAGGTAGGCGGTTCGGTACGGTAGGTAGGTAGGTAGAGTAGGTGTTATTATTAGTCGTTTCGTTTGCTAAGTTCGGTAGGTATGTCGGTAGTTCGGTAGGTCGTTTCGCGTTTCTTTCGTTTGCAGGTAGGTAGGGTAGTCGGTAGTAGCAGTTAAGTTAGTTTCGTTAGGTATTAGTTCGTTGTTAGTTCGTTCGGTCGGTCCTGTCGGTCGGTCGGTCCCGGCGGTCGGTCGGTTCTGGTCGGTCGGTCGTTCGTTCGTTCGTTCGTGTCAAGTTTCGTTCGTTGTTCGTTCGTTCGTTCCGTTCGTTCGTTTTCGTTTGCTCGTCGTCGTTCGTTTCGTTCGTTTGGGTCGGTCGGTGCTGTAGGTCGTTTAGTTTGCTCACGGTCGGTATTACTTTCGTTTGCGCAGGAGTCGGTCGGTCGTTAGTTCGTTATTTAGTTTGTTTAGTTAGTTGAGTTAGTTAGTTGTTTAGTTAGTAGTTGTTCATTAGTTCGTTTAGTTAGTTCGTTAGTTTGCTATTCGGTAGGTAGGTACTGTAGGGAGGTCGGGTATGAAGAAGGTAGGTAAGGTACGGTCGTGGTAGGTCGGTAGGTAGTAGGTCGTGTAGGTAGGTAGGTAGGTAGGTTACTGTAGGTAGGTAGTCAGGTAGGTTAGGCAGTTTAGTTTCATTAGTTAGTTCGTTTGCTAGTTTGCTAGTTTTAGGTAGGTAAGGTAGGTAGGTAAGTATGTAGGTAGGTAGGTAGGTAGGTAGGTAGGTAGGTTATGGTATGTAGGTAGGTAGGTAGGCTAAGGTAGGTAGGCAAGTGCAGGTCAGTTAGTTCGTTAGTTAGTTTAGTTTGTGCTAGTTAGGTAAGGTAGGTCAGGTATTAGGTAGGTGGTAGGGTAGGTATGGTATGGTAGGTAGGTAGGTCAGGTATAGGTAGGTATACGGTAGGTAGGTAGGTAGGTAGGTACAGTGGGGAAAAAAAGTATTAGTCCAGCCACCAATTGTGCAAGTTCTCCACTTAAAAAGATGAGAGAGGCCTGTAATTTTCATCATAGGTACACGTCAACTATGAAGACAAATTGAGAAAAAAATTTCCAGAAATCACATTGTAGGATTTTTAATGAATTTATTTTGCAATTATGGTGGAAAAATAAGTATTTGGTCACCTACAAACCAGCAAGATTTCTGGCTCTCACAGACCTGTAACTTCTTCTTTAAGAGGCTCCTCTGTCCTCCACTCGTTACCTGTATTAATGGCACCTGTTTGAACTTGTTATCAGTATAAAAGACACCTGTCCACAACCTCAACAGTCACACTCCAAACTCCACTATGGCCAAGACCAAAGAGCTGTCAAGGACACCAGAAACAAAATTGTAGACCTGCACCAGGCTGGGAAGACTGAATCTGCAATAGGTAAGCAGCTTGGTTTGAAGAAATCAACTGTGGGAGCAATTATTAGGAAATGGAAGACATACAAGACCACTGATAATCTCCCTCGATCTGGGGCTCCACGCAAGATCTCACCCCGTGGGGTCAAAATGATCACAAGAACGGTGAGCAAAAATCCCAGAACCACACGGAGGGGACCTAGTGAATGACCTGCAGAGAGCTGGGATCAAAGTATCAAAGCCTACCATCAGTATCACACTACGCCGCCAGGGACTCAAATCCTGCATGGCAGACGTGTCCCCCCGCTTAAGCCAGTACATGTCCAGGCCCATCTGAAGTTTGCTAGAGTGCATTTGGATGATCCAGAAGAGGATTGGGAGAATGTCATATGGTCAGATGAAACCAAAATATAACTTTTTGGTAAAACTCAACTCGTCGTGTTTGGAGGACAAAGAATGCTGAGTTGCATCCAAAGAACACCATACCTACTGTGAAGCATGGGGGTGGAAACATCATGCTTTGGGGCTGTTTTTCTGCAAAGGGACCAGGACGACTGATCCATGTAAAGGAAAGAATGAATGGGGCCATGTATCGTGAGATTTTGAGTGAAAACCTCCTTCCATCAGCAAGGGCATTGAAGATGAAACGTGGCTGGGTCTTTCAGCATGACAATGATCCCAAACACACCGCCCGGGCAACGAAGGAGTGGCTTCGTAAGAAGCATTTCAAGGTCCTGGAGTGGCCTAGCCAGTCTCCAGATCTCAACCCCATAGAAAATCTTTGGAGGGAGTTGAAAGTCTGTGTTGCCCAGCGACAGCCCCAAAACATCACTGCTCTAGAGGAGATCTGCATGGTTGAATGGGCCAAAATACCAGCAACAGTGTGTGAAAACCTTGTGAAGACTTACAGAAAACGTTTGACCTGTGTCATTGCCAACAAAGGGTATATAACAAAGTATTGAGAAACTTTTGTTATTGACCAAATACTTATTTTCCACCATAATTTGCAAATAATTCATTAAAAAATCCTACAATGTGATTTTCTGGAAAAAAAATTCTCATCTTGTCTGTCATAGTTGACGTGTACCTATGATGAAAATTACATACCTCTCTCATCTTTTTAAGTGGGAGAACTTGCACAATTGGTGGCTGACTAAATACTTTTTTTCCTCACTGTAGGTAGGTAGGTAGGTAGGTAGGTAGGTAGGTAGGTAGGTAGGTAGGTAGGTAGGTAGGTAGGTAGGTAGGTAGGTAGGTAGGTAGGTAGGTAGGTAGGTAGGTAGGTAGGTAGGTAGGTAGGTAGGTAGGTAGGTAATAGAAAGGGTATATACTCACTGACAGTCTCTAATATGTCTGTGAAGAAGCCGTAAGGAACCAGGGGTTCAGGAAGCTCTCTGAAGAACAGCTTTAGGGCTCCTGTGATGACATGGATGTCCTCCCATTCACTCTGGTCCAGGTTCAACTTCTCTATTGGAGTAAGGAGAGAGGGGTGGAGGGAGGGGAAAGAGGGTGGAGGGAGGGAGGGAGGGATTGGGTAGCGAGGTAGGTAGAGTGCGGGAGGGCAGGTATGGAGGAGGAGGTATGGAGGGGGGAGGGAGGGAGGAATAGAGGGGTTGGAGTAGGGAGGGAGGGGTGGAGGGAGGGACGTGTGAATTTGACTGTTAAAACGCTCTCAGTACTTTGATTGACAGGTCGGCCGGCAGGCTCGTAGGCTGGTACGATAGCAGAAAGAAAGAAACTGTGAAAGGGAAGCGATAGTCTGAGGGCAGCCAGAAAGGCAAACACAATACGACCCTCCTGAACAATGTTTCAAAACAATGTTTCAAAAGTGCCACAAATACATTTGTACACTCAATAACGGTGTTTCTTCAAGAGTTTGATTTAAGGTTCTATCTGCTGTCCAAATGAGTATCGCAAAACATTGGTCAGGTGAGCTGGGCTAAGGCGTTTCACAAAACACAAGCTGCAGTACTCTGTTTTAGCCACTTTGTGACACCAATGGACTGTGTAAAGCACACACACGCCACTTGGATTTATAGTTTACTCAAACAAAATTTGATGCAAAGACAACACAATAGACAAATGGAAAGCTTCAAGACAAACAAACATGTGTTTTTGCATGTATGCAGTGAGTACAGTGCACACAGATATGCAGATAGGCATTTGGATGAAAACCGTGAGTGGCCTTGGCTCTACAGTCTTCACCTGTCGGTCTACCTTGTACCAACTCCGCAGGGAACATATAACGTCCGTCTGTAGTCACCGCTCGCTCTGCAATAAAACAACCAACAGTCATTTAGCTTACCAGGTCAAGCAGGTCTGAATCAGGATATCCTCGTTCAGAGTGGAATCCTAAATTATGTCCATTATAAAGCACTCTGGGCTTTAAAAAAATGTAATGTGTAGTGTAGGATGCATTTCAGAACATGCCCCCTTCCTCCTCCCTCCTCCCTCTCTTCCTCCCTCTCCCCCTTCCTCCTCCCTCTCCCCCTTCCTCCTCCCTCCTCCCTCTCTTCCTCCCTCTCCTCCTCCCTCCTCCTCCCTCCTCCCTCTCCTCCTCCCTCTTCACTCTCTTCCTCCCTCCTCCTTCCTCCCTCTCCTCCTCCCTCCTCCCTCTCTTCATCTCCTCCTCCTCTCTTCCTCCCTCTCTTCTCCATCTCCTCCTCCCTCCTCCCGTCATCTTCCTCCCTCTCTCTTCCTCCCTCTTCCTATTCCCTCCTCCCTCTCTTCCTCCCTCTCCTCCTCCCTCCCTCCTCCCTCTCGTCTCCGTTTCTCCTCCTCCCTCTCTTATTCCTCCTCTTTCTCTTCATCCCTTCCTCCTCCTCCCCACTCCTCCTCACCTCCCCCCCTCTCACTTCTCGCTCTTCCTCCCTCCTCCTTCGCTGGCGCCTCTCCTCCTCCCTCCTCCTCTCTTCCTCCCTCTCCCTCTCCTACTCCCTCCTCCTCTCTCCTCCCATCTACTTCCTCCCTCTCCCTTTTCCGCCTCTCTTCCTCCCTCCTCCCTCTCTTCCTCCTCCTTCTCTTCATCCCTTCCTCCTCCTCCCTCTCCTCCTTCCTCCTCACTCTCTTCCTTACTCCCTTCCTCCCTCCTCCCCTCCCTCCCTCACCATGGTTGACTAGGAAGCGTAGTTTCTGGATGACCGCCAGGTTCCCACTCACTCTGTAGATACCGTCTGTCTCCAGACCTGAATCACAACACACAGGTAGGAAATGTAACCCTGGCAACACACATCAGTAGACTATAACCCTGGCACACACACCGGTAGCTACAATGTAACCTGGCACACGAACACACCGGTACTACATGTAACCCTGGCAACAACACACCGGTACTACATGTAACCCTGGCAACAACACACCGGTACTACATGTAACCCTGGCAACAACCACAGACGGTTAAAACCCTTAAAACCCATAAAATCCTTATCAATAATAAACCAGTTCAAGGTGTTGTAAACGTGCAGTGAACATTCTCATCTCTTCCACAAAATATTTGTTTGCCTACAGCCACACGGAACCCAGAGGGGAGTGCCAGAAGCTGTACTGTACCCATTGTTTAACGTCTATGGCCTGTACCTCTCCTCTCCACAGCCTCAGTGCAGAGCCTGCGAAGCTAGGTCACCGTGTTCTTCTCCTCTCTCAGCACAGCATCTCAAGTATGACAGCCAAACACCTTGTCTGAAAATAACAACAACAACAACAGCATGGTTTAGAAGACTAAAGATGATTTTGGTCTAAAGCGACTTGGCAGTCAACACTCACAAAACTGAGATCTGAGGTCGTGAGAGCCACGGACACATTCATAGATTAAACCAAACCACAATCCTCCACTTATTATTATTATTCAATGAAAATAAACACCACAGAAATGTCAAGGAATTGAATTGATCTCTGCAGTTCCCGACTTGACTGGCCACTACTCTTCAAGTGATTTAGCATTTAGAATGACATCACTGAGCGGGAGATCCTACTTCCACTCTCAGTCAATTTCCATGTAGTCATCTTTGATGTCATGGAACCTAAGTGACATTCAACGAAGGCGAGATGTTAGGATTTACCCCTCTAAGTGATCTCAGTCTCCCCTGATAGATCTCAGTCAGAAAGAGATCTAAGGACAGAGACAGACAGAATAGGAGAGAGCGAGAGAGAGAGAGAGGAGAGAGGAGAAAGAGAGAAGTGAGGAGAGGACGAGAGATAGAGAGAGAGCATACTATCGCTTTCGAGCTACGAGAGAGAGGATAGGATAGCTAGGTGGCGATGACGCTCTTCATCTCTCTATATCTAAATCTCTCTAAGCGCTACTAGTACTCGCTCTTATCTGCGCTTTGCGCTGATATCGACGATTAAGGTCTTGCTAAGTACGCCTCTTCTCTCTCCTCTCGCTCGCTCCGTCTCTGCTCCTCTCGCCGCTCTCTCTCTCTGCGCTCTCGCTCTCTCTCTTCTGCTCGTCTCTCTGCTCTCTCCTTCTTTCTCTCCTCTCTCTCCTCCTTTCTCTACTTCGTCCTCTCTCTCTACTCCGGCTACGTCTCTGCCCTCTCTCCTCGAGCTCTTTCTCCTACTCTCCCTCCTCCTCTCTCTCCCTCTCTACCTGTGGTCTCCTACTTCTCTCTCTCCTTGTGCCTTCTCTCTCTCATCCCCCTCTAACCCCGCTACCGTCATTTAACCATACCTCAGCCCTTTATGAGTCCTTTCTTTTCTTTCTCCTTTAGGATCTGTAGCCGTGAGGTTCTCCCTTGGAGGATGAACCTCTTCAGTCTCTCCGAAACAAAAACATACCCCGGAACAATACGCTTACTTACTTTCTTATTCCTTCTTTCTTTCCTCACCTGAATTTCTCTCACCACGTTGGAACAGAACGAGGGACTGCACCGGGAAGTGGGGCCAAGAGGGAGAGAGAATGATAACGGAGGGCTTTCCTTCTTTCACTCCTCCGGTCTTTCCTTGCATCCGTCTTGTCCTGCTTTTCTCTCCTTCTCCCGGGTCCTTCTCTCTTTGACATGGTTCTCTCCTAGCTCTACTTTCCGCTCTCTCTGTCCTTCCCCCTTTCCATTCTCTTTTCGCTCCGCCGTTCTCGCCTGCTCGCTGCCGAGTTGTTTCTCTCCGGTCGCCTCGCTTTGTTCTTAACTTTCTCGCCGTCGCCCGTGACCGCTCCGTTCCGTCGCTCGTGCCGGGCCGCGCCGGACCGGCCGTGCCGGCGCGCGGTGGCCGGGGCGCGTCCGGCGCCGTGCGGCGCGCGTGGACGGGGGGCGCGCCTAGCACGGGCGTGCCCCGGGGTGCCCTGCCGGCCGCGGGCCCGGCGCAGCCGGCGCCAGTGCGGCGCGCGTGCAGGGGGGCCCCGCCCGGATGACGTGCAGGGCGCGTGAATGGGGAGAGATGGGGCTTGCACTCAGTAAAACAGAAGAACACAGAAAAATGATAGACTCACAACTTTTATGTCATTTTAGAGAAATGTGAAATGTCTCTTTTTGCTTTTTACCCCTGTGAGACACACACATACACCACAGGAGGAAGCACACGGGCAGCCACAGCACAGCAACAGTACCCTTGGATGGAGGAGATGGAGGAGAGACTCACGTGATGCTTTATATACCCCTCCTCTGTCCTCCTCGTCTCCACTGGGGTCCAACATATCTACACTACCCGCCCTCCTCAGAGAGTACAACAGGACATTGTCCAGGGGATTCTCCCGATCCTATAGAAGAGAAGAGAATTTGAACTTGTACCAGACGACTTTGTTAACTATCTGTAAGCACCCTGATGAAAGCTAGACGCTAAAATAAGTTGGTGTTTGATCATTATGAAAGGTTTTTAATGAACTTCCATTGTCCTCCTAGAGTAGCTGAATACAGGCTGCTGAGAGGAGGACGGCCAATATTAATGGCTGGAACGGAGCGAATGGAATGACATCACACACATGGAAACCATTCCACTGATTCCACTCCAGTCATTACCACGAGCCCGTCCTCCCCAGCTAAGGTGCCACCAACATCCTGTGGCTGAATATCTGTTGCAAATAGTTCTAGAGCTCATGCACACACACACACACACACGCGCACACACACACACACACACACACACACAAACACACACACAGTGTGTGAGACTCACCAGTCTGTCGATGACACTGTGGATGGTGTTGAACCACTCTCTGATCAGTGAGTCTGTCTCTGACTGCAGTAGGAACTCATTCCCTGTCACTGTCCTCAGCTACCACACAAACAGACCGTGGGTTAGTCCCAAATCACAAACTACTTCCCAGGTAGTCTACTACTTACTACTACTTCTTCCAAAAATTCAATTTCCATTCAGTCAATTCGGGAAATGAATTCAAATTACAATTCAGGAATTACAAAATTTGCATTGAGAATGAATGCCGATTTTCAATTCTTGAACTGGAATTTTAAGGCATGTATTGAATTGACTGAGTTGAAATTGAATTGTCTCGAACCCTGGTGCTCATCGAGTACTGCTACAACACATAGCCTAACCCTGGTGCTCATCGAGTACTGCTACAACACATAGCCTAACCCTGGTGCTCATCGAGTACTGCTACAACACATAGCCTGACCCTGGTGCTCATCGAGTACTGCTACAACACATAGCCTAACCCTGGTGCTCATCGAGTACTGCTACAACACATAGCCTAACCCTGGTGCTCATCGAGTACTGCTACAACACATAGCCTAACCTGGTGCTCATCGAGTACTGCTACAACACATAGCCTAACCCTGGTGCTCATCGAGTACTGCTACAACACATAGCCTAACCCTGGTGCTCATCGAGTACTGCTACAACACATAGCCTAACCCTGGTGCTCATCGAGTACTGCTACAACACATAGCCTGACCCTGGTGCTCAATGAGTACTGCTACAACACATAGCCTACATTCAGATACTGAGCTTCCTCTCAATAGGAGGTGAGAATGTTTTTTTCTCTCACAGAAAACCACTAAAACGGTTCTCTCTCAGTGAGACTTAAATAGACACATTTGACTTCCCTAAAATACAGGGTGAAATAAAGTGTCTTAAAAATGTCATTGAAATTTTATACAAACAAGAAAATGATGGTTTGAGTGACATCCCTGCCTCCTGGTGTGTGACTGACCTTGAAGACGTTCTTCTTGCTGGACAGGTCATTGGTCCACTGCACCACAGCTCCTCTCAGGTCTACACTGCTCTCCGGACGACTGTTGCCTGGTTTCTGGATACCAACACACAAAATAAGAAATCAGTCTTGAGACGTTAAAAAAAACAACAACAACAACAGTTATTTCAACTCGATCTATGATAGTTAAAACTCAATGACTGTCTTACCCAGCTGGAGGGGGTCTGTGATTTAGGATCCTTGAAGAACACCAGACTGTTCCCAACCAGAACCACCCACGACGGATTCCAGTTTTTCCTAAAACACACACCAGGAGAACACACACACACACAGGGTTCCAAACCTCTACAGCAGATACAGGATGTAGAAGGTTATATCCTCCTCGTATCACGGACAGTCTACCTCAGTTTCCTGCCTCCCTCTGCTATCTTGGTCTTATTCAGCAGACCTGCTTTCTCCAGCTCCTGAGGATGGAAGAGGTGGGGGAGATTAACTGGTGATACAGAGGGATAATTCACAGGCTGCTCTGATGACTACGTTGGTGCACACAGTAAGTGAACTGAAAACACATTGTAATTTACAGCAACAACCCAGGGGGAAAGAGTTGCCAAATGTCACTAGAAGCATGGACGGACAGTGGGACAGGGGTTACAGTTGGGAGACAGCGGAGGCAGAGGGACAGTTGGGGACATTGGGGACATTGGGTTGTGAGTCTCACTGGTGTGGAGCTGTCATTGCTGTCTGGAGAGATGTCTGGAGAAGGAGGCTCCACCACCACACTGGTCCCAGGGTAGGAGCAGTCTCTGCACTGCCGGCCAAGCTAGGAACAACACATACATGTTAGGTCTTGACAAATATCTCGTGGATAGATTCTCACGGACACATGAAACGGTGAGAATCTGTCAAGGCCCATGTAGAATTATGTGATTCCAAGCACCAGTAATTCCTGGTTTTGGGTTTTTGTCATTGATTATTTGGACGAATCAGGATTGGGCAAAGGCGGTGCTTAAACTGGTGCTGTGATTTTTAAGCCCATATGGATAATAAACGGTTTCCACTAGTTAATACAGCCACAAAGTCAGAATTGGCTCTATCGTAAACATTGATGAAAACAAATATGTATTTTTTGGCCATGATAAACACGTGAAATTAGCGGAAGGGAGGGGTTTGGCCTAGAGTTTCCGTTTGTGAGGGAGAAGACTTTGCTTCCTTCCTTTGCACAAAGGTAATCACAATTGTTAACACCATTCCCCCCAGAAGTAAAACAGGAATTGACTATCTGGACAACAATATGTGTGTGTCTGCGTCATTCTGCTAGCATGTGTCTGTCTACCTGGCTCTGTGTGTGTGTGTGTGTGTGTGTGTGTGTGTGTGTGTGTGTGTGTGTGTGTGTGTGTGTGTGTGTGTGTGTGTCTGTGTGTGTGTGTGTGTGTGTGTGTGTGTGTGTCTGTGTGTGTGTGTGTGTGTGTGTGTGTGTGTGTGTGTGTGTGTGTGTGTGTGTGTGTGTCTGTGTATACCTTGCCGTTCTCGGGCAGTATTATGGCTCGTGCGTGGCTGAGCTGCTCTGTCCCATGATGCAGTAGGGCAGAGTGACGTCGCTGGACAACCCCCTGAGACTCTTCTGTACTGAAAGCTGTGGTGCTGATGGTGTCTGAGGACACTGCTCTCTGCATGCTCTACAGGGCAGGAACACAGAGAGGGGCAGGTCAGCTACTCTGTGTATATCAGTGGAGGCTGCTGAGGGGAGGACGGCTCATAATAATGGCTAGAATGGAGTGGAATGGGTAGAATGGAGTGGAATGGGTAGAATGGAGTGGAATGGAGTGGAATGGGTAGAATGGAGTGGAATGGAGTGGAATGGGTAGAATGGAGTGGAATGGGTAGAATGGAGTGGAATGGGTAGAATGGAGTGGAATGGGTAGAATGGAGTGGAATGGAATGGTATCAAACACATGAAAACCATGTTTTTGATACCATTCCATTAGCTCCATTCCAGACATTATTAGAGGATATGTAAGAAAGTAATTAAAGGATGCTGATTGATTCTGATAGCACCGTTGGAGAAATTAGTTTATGTAGATATTATTGTTGTATTGTTAAACTTTTAGTTCCTTGTTTTGTTGCCAGGAAGTTATTTCCCCTGTACACATTCCATTAATCTCTACATTCCATTCCATTCAAATCTCACCTGAACCAGCTCCCAGCCACTGTCAGCATTCTGCCCACCGTACAGGAAGTCTGGAGAGAGCTGAAGAAGAGGAAGAACACTATTTCCTTACAGTCCACAGTCCATTTGTATTTTGCTTCACTACAAAGGCAAATTACAGCAAACACTGGTCTAGAATGACCAACACATTACGCAACACAAAAAAGCATAAATACACTTTTCTTTCCAAACATGTCAGTTGATACTATATTTCACAATGACCAGACAAATCTGAAAAATCCCTGAGAATGCTCACCTCACCACAGTTCAGTAATAGTATTTAGTATTTCGTATTTATTAGGATCCCCATTAGCTGTTGCCCATAGTGAAAAGCACAGATAGCTTTATCACAGCTGAAATCTATAACTTGTTGACGTGTATATTGTTGTCACAAACTGGGACACATAGACGTACTGTACAGTCAGTCATACTAGTCTGTTATCTAGCAAATGTGAAGACACAAGCACTAACGTGAGACTACACTCTTACAAAAAAGGGTTCCAAAGGGGTTCTTTAGCTGTCCCCATAAGAGAACCCTTTTTGGTTCCAGGTAGAACTATATTTGCTTCCAGCTAGAACCCTTTTGGGTTACAGGTAGAACTATATTTGCTTCCAGCTAGAACCCTTTTTGGTTCCAGGTAGAACTATATTTGCTTCCAGCTAGAACCCTTTTGGGTTCCATGTTGAACCCTCTGTGGAAAGGGTTCTACGTGTAACCGAAAAGGGTTCTACCTGGAACTAAAAAGGGTTCTTCAAAGGGTTCTCCTATGGGGACAGCCGAAAAACCCTTTTAGGTTCTAGAGAGCACCTTTTTGTCTAAGAAAGTAGAAGCTAACTGATGAAATATACATTAGCTAGTGCTGTGTTACACTCACGCTCCCTCACACACAGTCACACACACACACACACACCATCCACACACACAATAAAAAAAACGGAACTTACAGTCACACTGTTCATCAGTAGCCTATATCACCTGTATCAGAGTCCAGATGAAAACCAAACCAAACTATAAAACGAATGTTCCCTTGGTAATCAATACGAGAGTCAGTCCACGCCACTGTCAGATGTAGTGTACCTTCCTGACAATGCACCTTTTCATCTGAACAAAGGAACCACAACCTGAAATTCACCTCTCTCTGTCCTTCTCTCTCTCTCACGGCACAAACTTCCTCTTTCTATATGGAACCTAACATTAACATTATCAGCATGTACCATCGCTCTCACTATGCACAACCAGGAAGCCATGTGCCTAGACTGAGCATCCCAAATGGCACCCTAGGCTAAGGGTCAAAAGTAGTGCACTATATAGGGAACAGGGTGCCATTTGGGACGTACCCAGATACATTATCATATCAACAATATAAGACCGCTAACAGTAACAACAAGGACAACAGTATAATTATCTACAGAGACCTTATTTTAATTCACTGACTGCTCTTATCTTTGTAGTCACCATGGTGACACTAGCACTACGGGTCAGTTGGAGTTGAAGTTGGATGAAGCCCAGACACAATCCCACTTTACAACACTGTGTGGTTACTCATGTAAGTACACTATAACAACTGTTGTAATTGCTCATTGTTACACTGTACAACCCACGGTTCCTACTCACCTGGCACACTGTAGAATAGATAGGCATACGTAGTATGGATTTAGCGCCACCTTGCCCACTGATAAGCTAGGTCGAATTTTAACTATCCAACACTATCAGATCTCCACAAGCGCCTAGCGTGTCAGGGCTTGTTTCTGGGCAGGGCCAAAGTGTTATCCTGACAACCTGTGGAGTCTTGGTGTCCATAAAGCTCTGGTTCAGTGTCTGGGTAGCGTTCCTTGTCTACATTATATCAACACGCATCAACTTCTTACTGTTACCGAGATAAGCTAAACGCCAAGCCATTTCAGAGGAATTAACAAATGAATGAATAAATGGTAGCACTTTATAATAACTCCACATAATAAAGCATTTATAATGGATTAGTAAATAGTTTATTCATAATTTATTAATCACTACTCCCACATTTGTAAATGTTAGTAACCTAGTTAATCACACATTTATAAACAACTTTTAGTATTTAATAACGATTCATAGGATCATTCATAAGATCTTTAATATAGGTTCTTATAAACCATTTACTAGTTAAGTATTTTTGTGTGGCCTCATCTAAAGTGTGGGCTATTTATACTTTATAAATACTTTATAACTGTTTTGAGTGACCAGTGTGATTTCTCACAAAAAGATGTACATGCCATTGGTAGACATTCCAGCAGTACCTGATGCTCCTTAATGTCTCAAAATGGCCCCTAGAACATATCAATGGTTAAACAATGAGCACACAACACATGATGTTACGGAAATATATTCAACATTTTAATTCCAAAACAGTAACACTGTTGTAGTAGTGTGATGTGTAACTTTAGTAAAGTAACGGTTTCAGTCCGAAGACGCTAACTATACCTGTTAGAAATTGGGATTTCCGGTTTGCAAAGTCTCCACACACGCAAAATACCATTTCTAAACTAATTTCACCACATGTGCGAAGCTGTCGAAGTTTAAGCACCGCCTTCGCCCAATCCTGGTACGTCCAAATAATCTGTTTACGAAAACTCAAACATCGGAATGCTGATGCTCGTTTTCCTTGTGAATTCCATCCTGTCACGATAGATTATTCGGTTTATGCGCAAAATTTGTCCAGGAGAGATTAGGAGCAGTCCATAGACTGCTCACAAAGTAAGGAAACAAATATGTGAATACATTTATTTCACTGAACTCTCCCATTACGAGTTACTACCTTTAAAAGGGCCCGGGTAAAGGTGCCGCCAAAAAAAGCCACGTGTGAAAATATTCTGCCGCTAAAATACTGAAGCACTGGAAGCATTTAAAAGGTTATACCATTACCATTTCTACCTGCAAATCATCCATGTAACATACCTCAATCACAAATCAGTAGCAATAAAGGAATAAAACCCCACTAGAGAAAACATTTCCGGTCCCGCCGGCTGTTGTGTGCAGGCTACATCTCCCTGTTTCATTAGTTCATGGTCACGAGGTTGACAACACTAGCAACACATTCACATTACAACACTTAATGAAGTCCTTGTAACAGTTTTTTATTTTTTTTTTTTTTACGTCAGATACTGTGAGGAAAACGAGGCTGTAGGTGGACCTACCCTGTTCATGTTGCCATGTGGACCTACCCTGTTCATGTTGCCATGTGGACCTACCCTGTTCATGTTGCCATGTGGACCTACCCTGTTCATGTTGCCATGTGGACCTACCCTGTTCATGTTGCCATGTGGACCTACCCTGTTCATGTTGCCATGTGGACCTACCCTGTTCATGTTGCCATGTGGACCTACCCTGTTCATGTTGCCATGTGGACCTACCCTGTTCATGTTGCCATGTGGACCTACCCTGTTCATGTTGCCATGTGGACCTACCCTGTTCATGTTGCCATGTGGACCTACCCTGTTCATGTTGCCATTCTCTGTGCCTGAGATGGGGAGAGACAGGTGGTTGGCATCCCTTGGGACCGTCTGTGGCTGCATCGGACTAGCCTGTAGCAGGGAAGAGAGTATAGGTGTTAGTTTGAAAGCACATCTGTCCTACTATTTGTCATTGCTGGCAACGTTTAAAAAAAGTGTTGATAGACTCTATTGTCCCCAAAAATAGTTGTACTGTTTCACAATACGTGTACTGTTCAAATTAACATAGGACCCTGTGATCTGAATATCTGTAAATTAACATAGGACCCTGTGTTCTGTAAATTAACATAGGACCCTGTGATCTGTATATCTGTAAATTAACATAGGACCCTGTGATCTGTATATCTGTAAATTAACATAGGACCCTGTGATCTGTATATCTGTAAATTAACATAGGACCCTGTGATCTGTATATCTGTAAATTAACATAGGACCCTGTGATCTGTATAACTGTAAATTAACATAGGACCCTGTGATCTGTATATCTGTAAATTAACATAGGACCCTGTGATCTGTATATCCCTGTTATGTCTGTTACCCGTTCACGGGCTCTGCGGGGGGGTTTCCAGGACCTCTCCTTGGTAACGGTGTTGACATAGAAACATCGCCCCATGGAAGGGTCCGAGTATTGCTCCCATAGGTCCAGCACCTGCAGGGGCACAACGGAAATATGTATTGGACTTTTTTGTGTCATTTTGTGTACTTTTTTGTGTCTTCCTCAATAGCTTTATGTATGCACATCATCTTTGCTAAGTGCATTTTTTAAATTACTGTTTGAAAGGACTCTCAATCAAACTTAAAATGTATTAGTTATTTTAAGTTAAAAACATTTAAAGTTAAAAACATGACATTTCCATCGTCAACGGCCTTCATCAGAATCAAACTGTGAAATACAACAAACAAAATGACCTGCAGGGGTCGCTGGCCGGGGGCGGGGCTGGGAGGCTCCACTTGGCTCCGCCTCTTCACCTGGTGGATGGCGGAGTATAGAGGAGACTCCAGGAGAGACTGCTGGGAAATGTAGGACTGGGGAGACACCTGGTGGGGGAGAGAGAGGAGGTTATACTGTATAAGGTCAATAACAGGTTACATGACGTTGGACACAGTTTGATGGGGAAAACGTTAGGTTAGGGTGTGTGTGTGTATGTGTGTATGTGTGTGTGTGTATGTATCATACAGTTTAGTATAGTCTACAGGTCTCACGTGCCACTCAGCCCCAGCTGTCATTAATAGAATGACTACCGTTACATAACATGGGGATAAAGCTGCATCGTATAGCCTCATCACTACAGCTTTCATGGAAAGATGATTTACCATATTACAGATTTACTTTTCAATCTATTTCAGTGCAACAGATGGCCTCCTATAGCCTGCATTATGTTACGTAGCAGTCAGTTCACTAGAGCATGTAAATGAAGGTTTTCTACAAGCTCAGTCCTTAGGCCTCGCTGACTACATGTTGAGGTGGATGGGTATCCGTCTTTCTCTCGGTTTCTTTCATTCTCTTTTCGGTTTCTCTCTCGCTCTCACTCTCGCTCTCGCTCTCTCTCGCTCTCTCGTCTCTGTCCGAGAGCTCTCTCCCTCCATCCTCTCTCTCTCTCTCTCGCTCTCTCTCTCGCTCTCCGTCGCTCCACATCCATCTCTATCTCTCTCTGTCTCTCCCTCTCTCTCCCTCTCCCCCTCTCTCTCTCTCTCTCTCTCTCTCTGTTTTCTGTTGAAGCCACATCCTCTTCAGTTTGTGGTTCTTCTTAACTGCCCACTGACGCACGCACGCACGCACACACACACACACACACACACACACACACACACACACACACACACACACACACACACACACACACACACACACACACCACACACAACACACACACACACACACACACACACACACACACACACACACACACACACACACACACACACACACACACACACACAGGCCTATAATACATTACACTCACCTGAGACCAAACTAGTTGGTACTGGTAATAAATAAATAAACTAGTTTGGTAATAAATAAATAAACTAGTTTGGTAATAAATAAATAAACTAGTTTGGTAATAAATAAATAAATAAACTAGTTTGGTAATAAATAAACTCATTTGGTAATAAATAAATAAACTAGTTTGGTAATAAATAAACTAGTTTGGGTAATAAATAAATAAACTAGTTTGGTAATAAATAAATAAATAAACTAGTTTGGTAATAAATAAATAAATAAACTCATTTGGTAATAAATAAATAAACTAGTTTGGTAATAAATAAATAAACTAGTTTGGTAATAAATAAATAAATAAACTCATTTGGTAATTAATAAATAAATAAACTAGTTTGGGTAATAAATAAATAAATAAACTAGTTTGGTAATAAATAAATAAATAAATATACTCATTTGGTAATAAATAAATAAACTAGTTTGGTAATAAATAAATAAACAAACTAGTTTGGTAATAAATAAATAAATAAACTCATTTGGTAATAAATAAATAAACTCGTTTTGTAATATCACATAATACTGCATCTCTATAAATACTACAAGTACCTACCAATATGTACATAGCTAGCTCAATTACCTCATACCCCTGCACATCGACTCAGTGCTGTTTGTTATTAGTTATTCCTCGTGTCAGTATTTCATTTTTTATTTTATTTGTATCTTTAACTCTGCATTGTTGGAAAAGGACCCATCAGTAAGCATTTCACTGTTAGTCTACACCTGTTGTTTACCAAGCATGTGACGAAAAATATTTAATTTGATTTTGAACTAGCAATGGAGGCTGGATTCAAGTTCAAGTTCAAAACAATGTAATTGTTCACTCAACTGTGTTTAAATGCATGTTTGTGCAACAATCCATTTTTTACGCTTTTTTTCTCCTCAGTTGGTAGTTCCAGTCTTGTCCCATCGCTGCAACTCCCATACGGACTCGGGAGAGGCAAAGGTCGAGAGCCATGCGTCCTCCGAAAACACAACCCGGCCAAGTCGCGACCCGCACTGCTTCTTGACACACTGCTCGCTTAACCCGTAAGCCAGCCGCACCAATGTCTTAACCCGTAAGCCAGCCGCACCAATGTGTCGGAGGAAACACCATACAGCTGGCCACCGAAGACAGCGTTTCATGCGCCCAGCCCACCACAAGGAGTTGCTAGAGCGCGATGGGACAAGGACATCCAGGCCAGCCAAACCCTCCCCTAACCTGGACGACGCTGGGCAAATTGTGTGCCGCCTCATGGGTCTCCTGGTCGGCTGCGACACAGCCCGGGATCGAACCCGGGTCTGTAGTGACGCCTCTAGCACCGCGATGCAGTGCCTTAGACCGCTGCGTCACTCGGGAGGCCCCGCAACAATCCTTTTATGTATGGGGGGAGGAAGGGAGGGGTTGTGTGTGTGTGTGTGTGTGTGTGTGTGTGTGTGTGTGTGTGTGTGTGTGTGTGTGTGTGGTGTGTGTGTGTGTGTGTGTGTTTCCTGTATCTTAACCCGATGTAACCTGTGAGGAGAGGAGGTGTCTGTGGTTTTCTGGAAATTACGTGTTTTTCCACACTGCTGTTTTACCTTCAACTGACACAAAACACCTAAAGCTGACTCTAACCTCCCCTCTCACTATAGGCCTGATCTGTTTAAACCCTTGTATAATGTGTGTGTGTGTGGGTCGGTGCTTGCATGCATGCATGCATGTATTCATGTGTGTGTGTGTCCGTGCGTACATTTATGCATTCTGGGAGATGGCAAGACTTTTATCTGGGCCATTTTGGGAGATGGCAGGACTTATATCTGGGCCATTCTGGGAGATGGCAGAACTTTTATCTGGGCCATTCTGGGAGATGACAGGACTTTTATCTGGGCCATTCTGGGAGATGACAGGACTTTTATCTGGGCCATTCAGGGAGATGGCAGGACTTTTATCTGGGCCATTCTGTTTTATCTGGGCTATTCTGGGAGATGACAGGACTTTTGTCTGGGTTATTCTGGGAGATGACAGGACTTTTATCTGGGCCATTCTGGGAGATGGCAGGACTTTTGTCTGGGTTATTCTGGGAGATGGCAGAACTTTTATCTGGGCCATCCTGGGAGATGACAGGACTTTTATCTAGGCCATTCTGGGAGATGGCAGTAACTTTTATTGTGGCTTATATTAAAGACAGCATTAACATTCCAATGTGAGGAATGTTCTATGAGCTGGGCTTCGTCCCAAATGACACCCTATTCCCTATTTAGTGTTAGGGCCCATAGGGCCCTGGTCAAAAGTAGCACACTATATAGGGAATAGGGTGCCATTTGGGATGAAGCCCGATGTCTTTGAGGTGGTGTAGTGGCCAACGCTCCTCGAACCAGTCCGGCCAGCTGTGTGTGTGTGTGATGCAGTGTGTGGAAAATAGCGGCTTGTGACGTGGATGTTGCTCTAATCCTGCTTACTGAGCTTAAAGACACGAGGGAGAAAGGCCTTCAGAGAGAAAGAGAGAGAGAGAGATGGAGGGAGGGAGGGAAGGAGGAAAGGAGGGAGGTAGAAAGGCCCTCTGAGAGAGAAGGAGAGAGATGGAGGGAGAGACGGGGAGAGCTCTTGGACAGAGATATGAGGGAGAAAGGCCCTCAGAGAGAGAGAGAAAGAGAGAGAGAGAGAGAGGAGAGAGGAGAGAGAGAGAGAGAGAGGACGAGAGAAGAGAGAGAGAGAGTATGGAAGGGAGAGAGGGGGTGTAGAGCTCTCGGACAGAGACTACGAGAGCGGAGAGGAGAGGAGAGAGCGAAGAGCGAGAAGAGAGGAGACGAGAGCGAGAGCGAGAGACGAGAGAGAGAAGAGGAGCAGAGAGCGAGAGAGAGAGCGAGAGAGAGAGAGAGAGAGAGAGGGATAATAAGCGAGATAGTAGAAAGAGAGATGGCGTGTACAGAAAGAAAAAAAGGCTAGATGTCAACTCTGTTCAATATCAAACAATCTTGTTGACCTCACAGGACAGTGGTTTGGATCCTAGTTGACTCACAGGACAGTGGCTTTTGGATCATGTTGACTCACAGACAGTGGCTTTTGGATCATGTTGACTCACAGACAGTGGCTTTTGGATCATGTTACTCACAGACAGTGGCTTTTGGATCATGTTGACTCACAGACAGTGGCTTTTTGGATCATGTTGACTCACAGACAGTGGCTTTTGGATCATGTTGACTCACAGACAGTGGCTTTTGGATCATGTTGACTCACAGACAGTGGCTTTTGGGATCATGTTGACTCACAGACAGTGGCTTTTGGATCATGTTGACTCACAGACAGTGGCTTTTGGATCATGTTGACTCACAGACAGTGGCTTTTGGATCATGTTGACTCACAGACAGTGGCTTTTGGATCATGTTGACTCACAGACAGTGGCTTTTGGATCATGTTGACTCACAGACAGTGGCTTTTGGATCATGTTGACTCACAGACAGTGGCTTTTGGATCATGTTGACTCACAGACAGTGGCTTTTGGATCATGTTGACTCACAGACAGTGGCTTTTGGATCATGTTGACTCACAGACAGTGGCTTTTGGAACCTCTGCTCTCTTATCTAACTTGGCAGTGGCTGATTCTGGTTTTCCAGTGAACGGATACTTGGCTCTAACGAAAAGCCAAATTGTTTATTTTCTATCACAAACCAACATGTTTGTTTCACGACAACCTTCATCATCTGTACCCGATGAGGGATAATCTTGGTGTTTTACCTAATCTCACGTGCGTGCTGGCCAGCTACTCGATGTAATGTCATACATTTACATTTTTACATTTTAGTCATTTAGCAGATGCTCTTATCCAGAGCGACTTACAGTTAGTGAGTGCATACATTCTTTTTTTATTTTTCATACTGGCCCCCCGTGGGAATCGAACCCACAACCCTGGCGTTGCAAATGCCATGCTCTACCAACTGAGCTACATCCCTGCCGGCCATTCCCTCCCCTACCCTGGACGACGCTGGGCCAATTGTGCGCCGCCCCATGGGTCTCCCGGTCGCGGCCGGCTACAACAGAGCCTGGATTCGAACCAGGATCTCTAGTGGCACAGCTAGCACTGCGATGCAGTGCCTTAGACCACTGCGCCACTTGGGAGTCATAAACAGTCTATCATGAGAGATTAGGGATAGTTGTTATTATATCGTCTGATCATTATTCCATGCATGACAGCGATAGAAGAGTTGGCTACAGCACATACGCTATCGAAGTTCCCACTAGTCTATCCCTTGTCCTGTCTGAGTGTGTCTTCTTCAGTGGTGTAGTGCACATTTTTTTAGGTGCGGGAGCGCAACTGTTTTTTAAAATGACATAATTTCTCAATAGAAATGTGTACCGACAGATGCAGCCTATTGAATATCATTCTAGAATATGACAGATGTAGCCTATTGAATATCATTCTAGAATATGACAGATGCAGCCTATTGAATATCATTCTAGAATATGACAGATGTAGCCTATTGAATATCATTCTAGAATATGACAGATGCAGCCTATTGAATTTCATTCTAGAATATGACAGATGCAGCCTATTGAATATCATTCTAGAATATGACAGATGTAGCCTATTGAATATCATTCTAGAATATGACAGATGCAGCCTATTGAATATCATTCTAGAATATGACAGATGCAGCCTATTGAATATCATTCTAGAATATGACAGATGTAGCCTATTGAATATCATTCTAGAATATGACAGATGTAGCCTATTTAATATCATTCTAGAATATGACAGATGTAGCCTATTGAATATCATTCTAGAATATGACAGATGTAGCCTATTGAATATCATTCTAGAATATGACAGATGCAGCCTATTGAATATCATTCTAGAATATGACAGATGCAGCCTATTGAATATCATTCTAGAATATGACAGATGTAGCCTATTAAATATAATTCTAGAATATGACAGATGTAGCCTATTAAATATCATTCTAGAATATGAATATGCATAAAATGCATCCTCCAATTGCAACGTCTGCCTGTGCCCACAACATATTGTCTCTAATGTTTAATACCCCCAATCACCAAGTTAGGCATCTCTAACTTCAAAATAGGCCAATATCACTGTCAATCGTGAATGATAATTCTTCACATTTTACCAGTGAAATGACAAAACTGCATCTCCACGCCAATCGTTTGATTGATCTCAATTAGTGTCATGGGAATATGCATTTAGATCTTCTGGAATTACGGTTTGGTGAGCGAATTAGAGAAGATAGTGTTAACAAACTATTAGCCTTTCTTGTATTTTGTCTCAATCAAAGCATATATCCTGCCTATTGACTTTTGGCACATGAGAAAAGAAATGTGACTATTCAGCTTCGGCTAACCATCCTAAAATCTCACTAGAAATTAGGTGTTTTTGGTGTAACAGTCATGTTATAGGCCTACTATGCTATGCTATTATATTCGGTTCTGTTATGTAAAATACTCATTCATCATTATGTGATCTCAGCTTCAGAAATAATTTTCCAGAAATATTTTTACCAGCTCCGTGTCTTCTCAAATTGGAAAAAGGTGAGGGTGCGGCAGCACTATATCCCTGGTCTTGTTCCAAACTATCTTAATTACAGTAGCATAGCTCTCGCCCCTGTCCTGTCCTGTCCTGTGTATGTCTGTGTGTGTCCTGTCTCTGTGTGTGTCCTGTGTGTGTGTGTATGTTTATGTGTCTCTCTCTCTGTGGGTGTCCTGTCTGTGTGTGTGTGTCCTGTCCTGTGTGTGTGTCCTGTCTGTGTGTGTGTCCTGTGTATGTCTGTGTGAGTCCTGTCTCTATGTGTGTCCTGTGTGTGTGTGTGTGTGTGTCCTGTCCTGTGTGTTTGTGTCCTGTCTGTGTGTGTGTCCTGTCCTGTGTGTTTGTGTGTTGGCCCTCTTGGCCCACTCTTACCTGCAGATGGCTGTTTCTGCGGGTGGCCTCGGCCACGTCCCACTGGCTAAGGGACCTGGCAACACCCCCGATGGGTGTGCGCCGTCCACTCAGTCCCATCCCGACCCCCATCTCCCCCACCTCGATCTCCTCGTAAGGGTTCTGGGGCAGGTTGCTGAAGCTCTTAGCTGGAGGACCACAATCGATTATTGTTTAATTGTCCTGTTGTCTCCGGCTGCTGCAGCCTTCTATGTACTAAGTAGCGGCTATTTTGAAGAAGGGTCTTGTAGCACTGACTGTAATATGTGGTTGCTATTCCCTACTAAACGTAGTTTAATGCACCGACTGTAAGTCACTCTGCAGAAGAACGTCAGCTAAATGACTAAAAGGAAATAAAAAAGAATGTATAAAATAAATCAAATCAAATCAAATCTTACTACGGGGGATGGGGGCCGAGGGGCCCATGGAGGTCTGGGGGCCCCCAGGGACCAGCAAGTGTCCTGGGGAGGAGGTGGCGGTGTAGGAGGGGAGGGCAGGGAGGGGCATGGTGGGGACACCCCCTCCTCCCAGACTGGGGGTAGGGCTGTGGCTGTTGACTCCCCTAAAGGCACTGTGAGAGTTGAGGTCCTCCATTGACCGACAGAAGGTTTTGGGCACTGTGGAGGAGGAAGAGAGGAGGAGGAGGAGAGTGAGAAAAGATCTCTTTGTGTTTTTACACACCAATTACATGTTTTGTATTACCAAAGGGACCATGGAGATCAATTGACCATGGGCCACACACGCATGGGATACCCCACCCCCTCCCCCTCACACTAACGTACCTGAGTACTGGTTGTTAGAGCAGAGAGAGAGAGATGACTGTAGCTGCAGTCTCATGTTGGCATGGTTACACATGCTGTTGTTGGCATTTTGTTGTTGTGCTACTGATGACAGAGGAGCGATGGGTACCTCCACTACGTACGTAGCCGGGACATACAGGGGCTTGGCTTTACTGGCTGCCCCGATCCTCCGCACCTGGTAATAATAAGAAATGACACACCTGGTAATAATAAGAAATGATACTCCTGGTAATAATAAGAAATGATACTCCTGGTAATAATAAGAAATGATACTCCTGGTAATAATAAGAAATGATTCTCCTGGTAATAATAAGAAATGATTCTCCTGGTAATAATAAGAAATGACACACCTTGTTATAATAAGAAATTATACATCTGGTAATAAATAATACATAGAAAAATAAATTATTCATGCCATTGAGAGGTACAAGCAGTTTTAGCCAAAGTAACAGTACAGTACAGTGAATGCATAGGCTAGATATAAAAACATTCACTCAGCCCCCCTTCCAGCATTTGGGGAACATCCCACGCTGTTCACACCCCTCTTGAGAGAACATTTTGTAGGTTTAAAGCTTATTTCCTGCAATTCTACACATTTTGCCATGTCTAATGTGTATTCATGTCATATTTGAGTGACACAAACATTACTACAAAATCTATGGCCTAAAATCCCTAGCTAAATTTTTTTTTATCTGATATGGGCTAGTTGATCTGGAAATTTATGACAAGTTATAAATAGCTCTCTAAGGTATGCAATGACCGACATGACAAGAGGAAAACTGATGATCCACAACCCAATTTCGAAATTGCACCATGTGCATTCTACTATTACAACTTTCGAGAGTAAGTTGGAAGCCGGACTTAGTTCCAAAAAAAAAAAAAAAAAAAGCCTGCCTACACAAAGTTTGGGAAACACAAATTCCTCTGACCACATGGATTTTGTTCTTGGTTAAGAGGTTGTGTTACCACGTGGGACACGCGGGTTTCAAATCGCACCGGTCACACTAGCATCATAGTCTATGCCAACTGAGCCACACAGTCAGGACCTCCTTACCTGCCACCAGTCAGTGTTAGTCTTCCTCAGCAGAATAAAGCGCTCCCCCTCTCGGATGCAGACATGTCGTCCGTCTGCCCCGCGGTACTGATAGTCATACTGCGATTCCAGCACCACCGTGCCCCTGGGGACACCACACCCCACGGACACGCTCACACCGCTGCTCACACTGCCACTGCTCTCCCTACTGGACACACTGTCCACACTGGTAGTTCTCCCCCTGGTGGAGGCAGAGGGCATGGCGGGTGAGGCTACCATGGAGCGACGCCAGCTTCCTGACAGCATGGCGGATGCTAGCTCTGACTTGGCCCGGCTGGGGCTCAGTGGGGGGTGATTTGGGTGAGAGGATAGGTGACAAGGGTGATGGTGGGGATGGTAGGGACGCTGGCACAGGGCACCGACGACAACTGGAGCGAGGCCAGCGCCATGCTCTGAAACACAAACAAACAGAACAGAACTGGGTTAGTGTGAAAATGGGATATCTATGGCAAGCATCACAGATCCATCCATCTGATAATCTCAGAGCCCTTTATTCATCTTAGAACTATTCAGCAAATGTTACAGATACACACCATTCACTCTCATAAAAAACACCAAGTAGTAATTGTTTTATAAAGCAATTGTATTCTAAAAAAAAGAGGGTATTGCCATTTATTTGCAATCATTCATTTGTTTAATCACTCACACGTTTAGAGAGAGAAATAAAAACAGTTGTTCGACCGACCAGAAGCCAAACACACACACACCCCTGCCCTGACCATTCTCCCTTACAAAGCCAACAGAACATCCCTCTGAGAGTAGTCTTAGTACCAGAGAGACTGATAGGCACAGAGGGAATTAAGAGAGCGAGAGAGAGGGAGAGATACATGTTGTCCCCGTGGATGTGCTGCGATGCTCCCTCTTACCCTCTGACTCCTGACTGCTGAGCCACCATTAGCCATGACCGTGAGAGAGGCCAGCTCTGAGCTCCTCTACTCATCACACCCTCACGTGCAGATGCACGCACACACACACACACACACACACATGTACACACACGTACACACTCACACACACACACACAGCTCCGTGGCCGTGCCTTCAGACCAAGGCAGGCTCGGTGGCAGAGAGAGGAGAAGGGGGAGGAGGGCGGTGGATTCTCTCTCTCTTTCTCTCTCTCATTTAATTTTCAATTTATGCTTTATTGGCATGGGAAACATATGTTAACATTGCCAAAGCAAGTGAAGTAGATAGTAAACAAAAGTGAAATAAATGTCAAATATCATAAAAAAATATTTTATATATGCAGTGTTGTAACAATGTGCAAATAGTTAAAGTACAAATGGGAAAATAAATAAACATAAATATGGGTTGTATTTACAATGGTGTTTGTTCTTCACTAGTTGCCCTTTTCTTGTGGCAACAGGTCACAAATATTGCTGCTGTGATGGCACACTGTGGTATTTCACCCAGTAGATATGGGAGTTTATCAAAATTGGGTTTGTTTCTGAATTCTTTGTGGATCTGTGTAATCTGAGGGAAATATGTGTCTCTAATATGGTCATTCATTTGGCAGGAGGTTAGGAAGTGCAGCTCAGTTTCCACCTCATTTTGTGGGCAGTGTGCACATAGTCTGACTTCTCTTGAGAGCCAGGTCTGCCTACGGCGGCCTTTCTCAATAGCAAGTCTATGTTCACTGAGTCTGTACATAGTCAAAGCTTTCCTTAAGTTTGGGTCAGTCACAGTGGTCAGGTATTCTGCCACTGTGTACTCTCTGTTTATGGCCAAATAGCATTCTAGTTTTCTCTGTTTGTTTGTTAATTCTTTCCAATGTGTCAAGTAATTCTCTTTTTGTTTTCTCATGATTTGGTTGGGTCTAATTGTGTTGTTGTTGTTGTCCTGGGGCTCTGTGGGGTCTGTTTGTGTTTGTGAACAGAGCCCCAGGACCAGCTTGCTTAGGGGACTCTTCTCCAAGATCATCTCTCTGTAGGTGATGGCTTTTTAATGGAAGGTTTGGGAATCACTTCCTTTTAAGTGGTTGTAGAATTTGTCTCTCAGATCGTTCACAGCTTTGTGGAAGTTACCTGTGGCGCTGATGTTGAGGCCGAGGTATGTATAGTTTTAACCGCACACTTGTTGTTTGTGTACATGGATTTTATAATGTTGTATGTTTTTCCCCCAACACCACTTTCCATCAATTTGTATAGCAGACCCTCATGCCAAATTGAGTCAAAAACTTTTTTGAAATAAACAAAGCATGAGAAGACTTTGCCTTTGTTTTGGTTTGTTTGTCAATTAGGGTGTGCAGGGTGAATACGTGGTCTGTCGTACGGTAATTTGGTAAAAAGACAATTTGACATTTGCTCAGTACATTGTTTTCACTGAGGAAATGAACTAGTCTGCTGCTAATGATAATCATGTATATTTTTTTTGCTGTTTGTTCTTTGTTATAGGCCCAGAAAGATTGGAGAAGTGGTTTACCCATACATCTCCATTTTGGATAGATAGCTCTTCGTGTTGTTGTTTGTTAAGTGTTTTCCAATTTTCCCAGAAGTGGTTAGAGTCTATGGATTCTTCAATTGTGGTCCTCTGTAGCTCAGCTGGTAGAGCACGGCGCTTGTAACGCCAAGGTAGTGGGTTCGATCCCCGGGACCACCCATACACAAAAATGTGTGCACGCATGACTGTAAGTCGCTTTGGATAAAAGCGTCTGCTAAATGGCATATTATTAATTACATTGAGCTGATTTCTAACGTGCTGTTCCTTCTTTTTCCGTAGTGTATTTCTGTATTGTTTTAAAGATTCACCATAGTGAAGGCGTAGGCTCAGGTTTTCTGGGTCTCTATGTTTTTGGTTGGATAGGTTTCTCAATTTTTTCTTAGGTTTTTGCATTCTTCATCAAACCATTTGTCCTGTTGTTACTTTTCTTCGGTTTTCTGTTAGAGATTTTTAGATTTGATAGGGAAGCTGAGAGGTCAAATATACTGTTTATGTTTTCTACTGCCAAGTTTACACCTTCACTATTACAGTGGAACATTTTGTCCAGGAAGTTGTCTAAAAGGGATTGAATTTGTTGTTGCCTAATTGTTTTTTGGTAGGTTTCCACACTACTTTCCTTCCAACTATAGCATTTCTTAATATTATTAAGTTCCTTTGGCTTTGATGCCTCATGATTGAGTATTGCTCTGTTCAAGTAGACTGTGATTTTGCTGTGGTCTGATAGGGGTGTCAGTGGGCTGACTATGAACGCTCTGAGAGACTCTGGGTTGAGGTCAGTGATAAAGTAGTCTACAGTACTACTGCCAAGAGATAAGCTATAGGTGTCCCCTCGAAGCCTACCATTGACTATGTACATACCCAGGGTGCGACAGAGCTGCAGGAGTTGTGACCCAATTTTGTTGGTTATGTTGTCGTAGTTGTGCCTAGGGGGGCATATGGGGGAGGGAATGCTGTCACCTCCAGGTAGGTGTTTGTCCCCCTGTGTGCTGAGGGTGTCAGGTTCTTGTCCAGTTCTGGCATTTAGGTCGCCACAGACTAGTACATGTCCCTTGGCCTGGAAATGATTGATTTCCCCCTGTCTTCATTAAAGTATGGGGATTCTAGTGGGTGGATATATGTAGCACACAGCAGGACATCTCTCTCTCTCTCTCATAATCCACAGCACAGCAGCGTATTAACAAAGCACAATAATCTGTGACCCGACTCATGCCTTGGAGAATTACCGTAAAACCCTCCATACTGACTCATGCCTTGGAGAATTACCGTAAAACCCTCCATACTGACTCATGCCTTGGAGAATTACCGTAAAACCCTCCATACTGACTCATGCCTTGGAGAATTACCGTAAAACCCTCCATACTGACTCATGCCTTGGAGAATTACCGTAAAACCCTCCATACTGACTCATGCCTTGGAGAATTACCGTAAAACCCTCCATACTGACTCATGCCTTGGAGAATTACCGTAAAACCCTCCATACTGACTCATGGCTTTTTCTCCTTATGAGGATGCTTCCCACAGACAAGCCCCGCCCCCTGTCACTCAAGCAGCTCAGCTCCTCCTCCTCTCTGTTAGTCACTATTAGTGTGTGCATGACTGTTCGGTCATGCTGTCAACCCATTGGTCCAAACAAGAATGACGCGGCTTTCCACTTTGTTTGTTAATATAAGTCATTCTATTTCTAGGATTCCAACAGTTAACCCAAATGTTTTGATCTATATCGCATGTCAAAGCGCAATCGCAATATTGGATTTAAAAAAATCGCACTTTGAAAGTTTGTGTGTATGTGTTCTGTTGTAGTGTACACCTGAACCAGCTGACAAGAGTAAGCACAGCAGGTATAGCATGAAAGCTGATGGGATTCCCAACTACCTCACACATCCACAGTCCTTCTGCTACCCTGCATGGATCCACAAATGGAACAATTCATTAAATGGAACAATTCATTTCATGGTACAATTCAGTTTGGATCCATGCTATAGTGCTGCATCTATCTATTGACTATGTCTGTCTGTGTGTCTGTCTACAGTCAGGTAAAAAATTATTGGCACCCATAATAATCTCTTTCTCTGAGGAATTGTATTAGTATAAAATAATATAGTTTCCCTTTTTTGCATACAATATAGCTCAGTATTTGTATGATTTATTTTATATAGTATTTATTGCTCATATTTATCAAGGGTGCCAATCATTTTGAACCTGACTTTCTATCTATCTACAGTGCTTTCAGAAAGTATTCATACCCCTTGACTTATTCCACATTTTGTTGTATTACAGCCTAAATTCAAAATGGATTAAATAGATTTTCTTTGTGCAACATTTGCCCATTAGTCTTTTCAAAATTCTTCAAGCTTTGTCAAATTGGTTGTTGATCATTGCTCCGCAACTATTTTCAGGTCTTGCCATTGATTTTCAAGTAGATTTAAGTCAAAACTGTAACTCGGCCACTCAGGAACATTCACTGTCTTATTGGTAAGCAACTCCAGTGTATATTTGGCCTTGTGTTTTAGGTTATTGTCCTGCTGAAAGGTGAATTAATCTCCCAGTGTCTGGTGGAAAGCAGACTGAATCAGATTTTCCTCTAGGATTTTGCCTGTGCTTAGTTCCATTACGTTTCTTTATTATTATGAAAAAGTCCCGACTCCTTAATGATTACAAGCATACCCATAACATGATACAGCCACCACTATGCTTGAAAATATGGAAAGTGGTACTCAGTGATGTGTTACATTTTAGTCATTTAGCAGACGCTCTTATCCACAGTGAGTGCATACATTATTTTTGTATTTTATTTTTCATACTGGCCCCCCGTGGGAATCGAACCCACAACCCTGGCGTTGCAAACACCATGCTCTACCAACTGAGCTACATCCCTGCCAGCCATTCCCTCCCCTACCCTGGACGACGCTGCGCCAATTGTGCGCCGCCCCATGGGTCTCCCGGTCGCGGCC